TCAAAATGTCATCATTCAGGGAAAGTTATTTTTCACTTATGCAAAATTCATCTTTATTGAAAGATGAATCTTGTCGACAGAACCAAAAGCAGATTTTCAGTATTGATTATAAATAAATTTTGCAATTACGTTATTGTTATGCGTTATAATACAAGTCTTAAAATAAAATAAATCAATTTCATCCGGAATACATCGATTTTGGATGTCATACATCGATTTTGGATGTCATACATCGATTTTGGATGTCATACATCGATTTTGGATGTCATACATCGATTTTGGATGTCATACATCGATTTTGGATGTCATACATCGATGTTGTCGCTTTCCTGGCTCATTCACGTATGTACGAGGTTCTTTTACGAACAAAATATCGAACATGGATACATTAATGTTTTGTTCAATTACGTTCTTGTCATGCGTTATAATACAAGTCTTAAAATAAAATAAATCAATTTCATCCGGAATACATCGATTTTGGATGTCATACATCGATGTTGTGCAGCATAAATCGCTTTCCTGGCTCATTCACGCGTGACCTTATATAACTAAAAGATGTTCAATAAAACTAAAAGATGAGGAAGCGGAAATTGAAATAACCGGAAGTCAGATTAAACAAGAAGCCCCGGAAACTAACCCTTTCAAAATGGCGGAAATAGAGGCGGATGATCAGTGATGTTTAAGAAGCACTATGCAAGGTGTACGGATTTGGCTGCCCAACATCGAAGGATTTTTTACGCCTTTGGGTAGGCTACTGGAAAGTGCAGAAGGGCAAAGGAACACTACGTCCTACGACCCGGCTGAATTTTTTTCGAGAAAACGAAAGGGCTCTTTTCACTTTGACTCTAAGAATAGAAGAAGCCTTCCCGAATGAAGTTGAGGTGATCTCTGATCTGAACGAACTTGTTTTTCTTATGAACGAACTTTCAAGGGACTTTGACAGAATTTTTGAGGACTCGGAACGTTCCACGTTTACTGCACCATCGTCCCTACACGATCGTCTTTCAACTGTGGCATGAAGAACGGTTTAGTTGGCAGACCAAGGCTACAGATCTTACAGCAAGAGCTGCAAACTCTGCACAATGACCCCAGTTTTCGTTGGGCTGATATCAGAAGAATTATTGAATGAGAGTATTGCTTATGGCAAAATTGGTTATGGCAAGATATAGACATGAAAGGATGATCCTTCCTTATCTTACTTTCAGTTAACAGTTGTGTTATTCTTGGGCCCACCAACCATTTTTATTCATAATTTTTCATAATCACTAAGAGATTGAATAAGGGAGGGCGTAACTTGAGGTTTTTAGGAATAACATCTTTGTAATTGGTACAATTATCCATGTCTTTACATATGTTTATGGTAATGTTTTGCTCCTTTATTGCTAGAAATTTCTACTACTCAAATTAATACAAAATCTCTGTTAATTTCCTAAGCAGTGGCCAAGGGAAATATGCCAGTGGACCCTTCACATAAAATAATAAAATTTTTAAATCTGTTTAGGTTACTTAGGAAATGTTCCACGTTCAAAGTTCCAGTTTCAAGTTACTCAGCATATTAACTGGTTCGTTAACAGCATGATAAACTCAACACCAACAAAAAGAGCTTACAAGTGCTCATTTACAAGGGTATAAACTTCTCTGCAATAGCCAGTATGCATGCAACATTGTTTTGCAATATTATTTTGAGTGACTGCAAATCAAGGCTAGATCTCAGGTTAAAAGTGTTTATACTATGAAGCATCTAGTACATTATGCCACCATAACATCATGTATTTTTTTCCCAGTT